TATTAATTGGTTTGAATTTAAATAAAAATTTAGAACAATAGTATATATATATATATATATATATATATATATATATCAAACATAGTTGAGAGATTCAATTTGGACTTGAAAGTTCATTCATTAATTATATATTTCAAATTATTCGAATCTTATTTTATAATTAATATTTTATTTATTTTCTAAATCAAGTTAATTTTATGAAAATAAAAATTAAATTAATTCAAGTTATTATTATTATTACTATTATTATCATTATTTATATAGTATAGAGTGATAATAAGGTAATATGTGTTTAAAATTTTATTAATGGCAAAAGAGACACTTTTGTCCTTGTTGTAGACTTAATTGATTATTTTCGCCTCTATTATATTTTCACATCAATTCAGCTCTCGAAATTGTTCAATTACATTAATGTTTAAAATATTTATTATTGTTTAGGGTTTCAAGCTAGAGGTTGGATTCAGGATATGTGCTTCAAAGTCTAGTGGTTATGCTATAAGGTTTAGGTTTTAAGTTAGAGTTAGAGTATAGAATAATGCAATTAAATTTTTTTAAAGATTAAATTGATATAAAAATACGATATGAATAAAAATGATAAATCGAATCTACAAGACCAAAAGTAGTACCTTTAATTTTAATAATTTATTAACAATGCATGTATTCTACGGATACAATTATAGCCTAAAAATTTTACTATTGAAGATCTATGATGAGTTTAATTTAAATCAATATTATGTTAAATTAGAAATTAATCTTTTAAATGAAATAGAGTTTGATTGATTTTTGATAGGAGTCGTTGTTCTACCGGCCATTACATGTGAGATGGGCATCAGTCAGGTTGGATTAGATTTTTTATCCACCCGATCGAAGAACAATAACTAATCTACCTGAAATTCGATCCGATTTTTTAAAGTAAAACTCGAGCTCGACTAGAAATAATCAAAAATATTATTTTTATTCAATAAAAATAGCGATTTAATTAAAAAATAATATATAGAAGAGTATTATTGTAATTATTCCTAAATATAAAGGTAATTTTTTTTCTGGTTGGATCGAGTATTTTTCACCTTAAACCTGAACCCAATCATACCGGAACACAACCTTTAAAAAAACCCAACCTGACTTAAATCTAATTTTTTTTTTAAAACCAATTAGATTAAGTCGGATCCGATCGAAACCAGTCGGATTAGAGTCTCATACCATCCCTAATTACAACTCTCCCACGTTTGTCGCGTCTACTTCCCCCATAAACTGTAATATTTTTGTCAGAGGTTTTATTTGGTGACGTTATAATATAATATAACTCAGTGTCGCCATCTTATCAGCAAAAGGACGAGCAGTAGGCTTTAATTAAAAGTAATTGATGCGAATTAATCATATGAAGTTGATGCCAACGGTCTGATGTTAATCATACAATATATTGTGAAGGATCCAACTTATATGACATGTGGATGTGGGTCTATATCATGCTCCCTATTATTTTCAATCACATTTTAAATATGATTAATTATTTACTTAAAACATAATTTTTTCTTATAATAGTTGTGACTCAAGGATGTTACCTATTCTTTTTTCAATTATACTGATTTAATAATCAAATTCTTCAAATTATATTAATATTGTTTTTGTCGATAAAAATTACCACTAATTGTTATAATATTAATGCGATAATCAACAACGAAACCATAGAGGGCATGAGGAAAATTTATGCATCTCTCAAAATTTTTTAAATCTCGAGATCTTTTTAACCATGATAACATGTTATATTAGTGCAATTGTTTGAAATCGACACTTTTAAAAAATATATTATTTCTTTTGATTATTAAAGTTGTTTGATAATTTTGAATAAAATAATTTTTAAAATGTTAATTATTTTATATATTTACAGTTGGTGTAAATATATATATTTAAACACAGATCACCATTTCCCGAAACTAAAAAGGAAATTCCATTGCACAAAGTTCCATACTTGACTCCCCAAAACACCTTTGTGAGTAGACATTTCTAGATCAAACATCAATAACCCACCTTGAAACTTGGATTCTGAGAAAGTAAAAAAGATAGAGATGAACAAGAGATTAAGCTTATCATCTACACCAATCCCAACATCATACCAACAACAAAGAAAAGATAAAAACAAAGAAAAGCCATGAATGAAAGAACAATAGTAAAAAAATGGAACACCTTTGGCCTTGATTGAATCACTGTCAAATGAACAAAATTTGGGTTTTTCTCCATCATTCTCCACAACCCCACATACCAACATTTTCAGTCTTTTAAATAACAAAGCTAAATAGAACACGCACTCTCTCTCTCTAGTCTCTATCCACAGTGTCTTGATTTTACATCACTTGGTTCATAGTCTTTACCTGCCCTATTCATCAACGTAATTGGCTATATATGTGTATACTTAATCGTATATAGGAGAGGCTACCGAGCGTGATAAAAAAGAAATACACTTTCTTTTCACCGTGGTTGTTGGTTGCCACAGTGACACGACTTGAAAGCGCCCATCTTTTCACGTCAAATGACACTGATTGATGCATCACTTGGCTTGTTCATGTCATCTCTCTATCTCTTTCCCCCTCGGTTGTTTCATAATTGTCCAGCACCGTTTTGAAGTAAAAATAAAACGACCCTTTAAAGGGGGAGAGAAGGGGAACCAAAAAACAAACACCTTGCAGGCAAGAATGGAGTCCTTTGGAGCTCAAATGGCAAAGAGGAAAGCAATGTGGCTGTATCCTAAAGTCTCGGGCTGTATCCTTTCTGAGAGATGGGGCATTCTGCTTGCTATTCTAATGGGGTTGTATATGTTTTGGGGTATGCTAAAAGTATTGGTTATATGCAAAATGGCTATCTTTGGTTAAGGAACATATAGCTTTCTTGATAGTTTTGGTTCTTTGCTGCTTATGTTTCTTGTTGGAATGTTATCTGAAGTTTGTCCTGGTTTCACTTTCTGCAATTAGTAAGAACGTGTGACAATATAATTAAGTATTTTCGCTGTATTTTTATTGATAATTTGTTTTCGTCTATTCTGTGTCCGTCCCTGCTTACAAGTCTTGTATGGCTAGGTCTGGTTACTTCCTGGAAAAAAGTTTGATTTGTGGGATTCCTTGTATAGCAAGGTGTTTTGCCTCTTGGGTTCATTTTGTTCAATGATTTCTGACAGGACAACTGGTATTGAGCTTTTTAATGTTGTTTTGCTGTATACTGAGCCGCACAACTGTTAAATTTGTGTATTTTGATGCTTAATTCTGTTAATAGGAGAGAAACTAGAGCTTGTTTTCCCTTTTATGTGTCGAATATAACGATCGGCTTGCTTTTGTCCGTCCCAGGGGTGTTGTGGAGGTCTACATTTTGGTGATGTCCTCATGCTAAATCTCAACACAATGGTGTGGAAGACACTTGAAACCACAGGGCGGGGACCTGGCCCTAGAGACAGTCACAGTGTTGTTCTTGTAGGGACAAAATGATGGTATTTGGGGGTACTAATGGTTCCAAGAAGGTGAATGATCTTCACATACTGGACCTTACGTCGAAAGAGTGGACGAGCCGAATGCAACGGTGCCGCGCCTTCACCTCGTGAAAGTCATACCGCAACACTTATCGGTGATGACAAGGTGGTGATTTTCGGAGGGAGTGGCGAGGGCGGAGCGAATTACTTGAATGATTTGCATGTTTTGGACCTTAGGACTATGACATGGACCTCACCTCAGGTGAGGGGTCATATTCCTGTCCCTAGGGACAGTCACAGTGCCGTCGCAATCGGAAACAGTTCGTTGTATATGGTGGGGACTGCGGTGATCGGTACCACGGAGATGTCATCTTCGACATGGATGCCTCAACTTGTCAAGGGTATTGTCTCACCAAAATCATTATTTAAAAAAATTAAAACCTATGAATCATAATTCCCATGATTTTCTTCGCAGTTGGCCGTTCAAGGCTCGGTACCAGGTGTTAGAGCAGGTCATGCTGCGGTCAATGTCGGAGCAATGGTAGCACATTTTGCACTACGTACGGCCGTTAACAAGACTAATCCCATTTTAATTGACGGTTTTGTTCGAATCTAATGTTCAAAAATGCATTTTCAAGGTTTTCATCATTGGAGGGGCTGGGTATAAACACTATTACAATGAGTTTGGGTCCTAGACGTGAATGCTTGTAGTTGGACTCAGCTGGATATATGTGGCCAGCTGCCGCAAGGGCGGTTTTCTCATGCCGCTGTTCTTGCGGAATCCGATATTGCTATCTATGGAGGGTAAGTTCCTCTGACTATGTTTAGCTCTATCTCTCCGGTTCGAGTTGTAATTTTGTTGAGCTCGATATACACAGATGTGGGGAGGATGAACGTCCGATCAATGAACTGCTGGTTTTACAACTCGGTACACAGCATCCGAATGGCCGGTATAACATTTCGATGTGCAAAACTTTCGGAGGCCATTGGAACCAAGAAAAGAGAAGATTCTTACGAGTAGCACCTACTAACTCTGTAAAAATACTCTCGGTTAAGTCGATATTAGTTAGGACCTTATGGAATAATCAGTTGCTAATATATTTTGAAGCAGAAAGGCATCTATTTCACTGATATTGAAGTAGTAAAACATGGAGATAATGAACCAGATCAAGAAGCAAAGCATTCTTCTCGGTTCAATACAGGTCGGTCCGGAATTGAATGTTCTTTCCTCAGGGATATGATATATAGCTCGCCAACTTGATGATTCGAATATGATCATTTCAATTTTTCGTTACTTTTAGATGCTTCGAACCCGAAGAGGAGAAGAACTGCCATACAAAGGCATGGGAGGTTGATTCCGAGCAAGAAGAGCATTCACTTCCCTCTCGCAGCATTCATCGCCTTCACATTCTGATCAAGAACAAGGCCTGACATTAAAGCCCCCGGATTCCGCTCTGTCCCAAGGCCTTAACTTGTTTAAGCAGTTCCATCCTATTCAAAGCAATCGTCAGCTTAACATGTTTCAAACCACCATAATCAGACCATATATGGTTCACAAAACTCGAGAGATTCGGAATATACAAGAGAATTTCAAAACCTTCAAAAACCGGAACGATATCTCCACGGTGTTCATACGAGCAGACAGAGAAGTGGAACGCAATGCTCGGCTGTGGAAGCAGGGCCTATTCACAACCTGGTAAGGGTCCACAAATTTTGCATTTCGATGGCATATCGAATTTCAATTCATGTTCTGTACGTTTCCCCTCATTCCATCCTTCTTGCCGGGTTTTTCTTTTATCTCAGCTCGGCGCTGAAGTTCGTGGTAAAGTCGACGGTGCATTCGACTCGGGTCTCCTGGTGACAGCAACAGCTAATGGGAAGATATTTAGAGGAGTCCTATTTGCACCTGTAAGCCTTGTGTCCTTTATAGTAGAAACTCCTTCTATGTGTGTTAAACTATTCCTTACCATCTCTTTATTCAATCAAACATTAGGGGACGTCGGATTTCGTCCCGAGAGGGCCAATGCTCGCTCAAAGTCTGTCGAAAACACACCAGGCCGGTGCCACTCAGCCTTTTCTAAACTCGACCAATTTCGAACCGTTGAAGCCCTCTCGTCCACGACGATGTGCATTATGCCGGAATCCGGTCGCGGTTCTCGGCATTCGGCGACTAATGGTACTGCAAAAGATCCAAAGCTAAGAAGTGATGCAGGAGATGTGGTTCTAACGCTAGGAGGACCTGGAACTGGCCCTGTTTGACATGTTATAGGAAATAAATAAATAAATGTCCAAACCCTACTTGTTGGTATTCAAATTGTAGCCCTTGTTTCTAAATCCATTCAGAAATTTAATAATAATAATTTAAAGGAATTTTAAAGGGTATAGGGAAGATGCAGGACACGCAAGCATGCGAGGATTCGGGGGGAGCACCCGCGCATCTCGCGCGATACTGTCCGTTAATGAGATGGGATGTCGTTTTCAGCCGTCAGATCCGTCTCTCATTCTCATCTTATTATTACCATTTCATGATTTTCCAAATATGTCCTTTCAACTTTCATTATATATATATATATTTTATAATAAATAAATAAAGGGTCAATTACACCAATTATCACTCGACTTTGTATCTCTACTATTTTACTTACTGCACTTTAAATCCGTTTAAAATTTCTCACTGAATTAACACAGTTAACATTTTGGTCACTCAAACATTTTCTCTGAACGATGTAATAAATAACTGTTATAAATACAAACGACGTTTTTTTTCTAAAATCCATGAATCCAACCTTGTCCGCTTGAACTGACTCTTTCGGTGATGGAGTTTATGATGTTTACGAACACGGTACTCAAGAAATAGCAGAAAGTTAGAGAGAACCAGGTAAATGACGTTTGAGAGTGATCTCATGCCGATCGGTGCTTCCTTGTAGAAAAATTCCAGCAGTTCTACAAGACTGAACATGTCTGCAATTCCAAAAATTCCATATTGAAAGGAGAGCCAGAAGAGACTTATGGGCTTGAACATGTCCTTATGAGCTTGATCCCTTCTTTTAACCTCAACAATGCCGGCAACAGCCATTGAAATTGCTGACAGGACAAGCCCCACTCCGACATGTTGGAGTTGAGTGATGCCCGATGGATGGTGTGTGATTTTTTGAGCAAAAGGGACAGAATAATTCATAGGCAGGAATCAGAATGGACATGAAGACCAGTGGGATAATTGGGATTGATGCGGCAGGAACTTTGAGTTTTCTGAGATGGCAATCCATGATGTTACCTTGCTGAATTGAGAATGTCTGCAGCTGTGCCAGACATGTGTTCATTATGATGGTACTGCCTAAAATGGGCAACATTCTGGTTAGTATCTTAACTTCTTCAACTTGAGTCACCGTCCACACCGTCCGCGGTGACACGGTGTCACTTCCGACTCTTTCGGAACAATTGCTGCTTTATCTAGGAATCTGACCTAGAATCACAGATCGGAATTAGTTTCAGAAAATTTCTTAGCATGTTTAGACATCATACAATTGTTCCAAATGCATGATTCACCTGAATTGGTTGGTGTGGGATATACTTTCCTCCCTGCAACCGGTTTCGTCTTCATCGACATCGTACAATTCATCATGTTTATCCGGCAGAGCTAGCAATCTATTTTTGAAGGCTACTGCTATGACCTATATGAATGGTCGATCATAACACACAAGAAGTGTTTGTCACACTTGTTTATATATGTAGCTATCCATGAGAAATGAAATGCTGAGATAAATACTGAACTTGAGCTATCCTTATGATGGGGCTATTAGCATCCGTCGGTTCTTGTAGGCGGTAGAAAGGCTTTCCCGATGCAAGAACATAGAATCCAATGAACGTAGCCACCGTCGATATGATGAAACCCCAGTACCACTTATGCTTTTCGGTAGTCAAATATACGATGCCCGTCACTTCGACGGAAGCTCCGAGTGTAGTACTGAGCAATAGTCAGTTGAAAAACCTTGCGAGAGCTTTTGCTTCCTTGGGGTCTGTAACCCCTAAATCCGAGCTAAAAGAATTAGATTGAATCTATAGAACTCATTAACTAAATTTCCCAAAATCATACCTAAACTTTATTTAAAATACAGTTAAAACTACCCTCACATTTATAGATTTCAAACATTTTAAGTAACCGAAAAAATAAATAATAATTAAAACATAAATCAAATATTTATCGAATTCAAAATTCAAGTCTCAATATCCAAAATAAAATTTATATTTAATGTACCAAATAATTAAACATAACAAATAATGTCCAACATAAATATTAATTAAATGTGCAATAAAAAACCCAAGTAAAAATGTCATAAAGAAAAAATAAAATATGGTCAATATTAACTCCAAGCACAGATTCTCCTACTCCGATTATCTGAAAGAAAGAAACTATGAGAGGTATAAGCTATAAAATTTAATGTACCTCTAAAGTACATCAGTCACAAACAAAACATTACAAATCAACGTACAATCAGATTCAACAAAATATTCACAATTCGATTCAACAAAATATTCACAATTCAACTAAATATGCAATGAATGTGCACCCAAACACCTTACACCATCTGAAGAGTAGATTTCTCATAACTACTCTAACTACTAACACCATCCGAAGTGGGATTCGCCGCAAAGACAAAGATCACTGAATCCGAAGTGAAATTCACCAAGTCAGTTGAAAAACACTTTAACTTCCCCTATCAATCCAAACTCAATATGACATGCAAACTACACATATCCAATATCCGATCTGATTTGAATAATATATATCTGAATAACACATACTCGAATATTATATATATATATATATTCAAATTCCAATTCGATCTAAATGAGAATGCAATTAGATTATTTCAAAGTCTGAACACAAAGCATAATCTGAATTCGATAAATATCGTATGCAACATAACATAACATAATTTTTTAAATTCTAACTTATACGTCAAGTCACATAACCATCATGCTTGAAATCAACATGTTATCCGAAATAATAACTAATTCGAAAATATCACAAATAGAGACACACCTCGACAGGTAACTAACGAAGACAATTGTGTTTCCCATGATCAGCCCGAGCCATGGATCAAACCGAATCGGTTCCTACATAAAATTTGACTAATAATTACTATTCTAATTTTAATAACAAATCTGAACCTAAATCTAAGGTATTAACTAATACTCATTTTCGGTTATTGTAACCCGAGTTGGTTCAAAGTTAACCGGTAGCGGTGGAGGAGGCGATAGATTTGATTCCGATTCGATGTCACCTGCAAAAATCACGACTTCCAATTTAATATCTGGATTCAACGAATTTCAGATTAATGAAGCAATTTAACCACGATTAAAAATTATTCTCGGTTAGAATTAGGAACCGGCCAGTGGGGTTTGATTTGAACAAAAGGGACTGCCGAACAATGATGGCAGCACCTACTGCTGCCCCACGACTGTCGGTGACAAGCACCATGGCAACAGCAATGGCTTGGTGAAACGACAACCTCGGCTGCTCAAAGGAAGCCCAAAACGATAGGAAGGTACTCGGTAGTGGCCACCCATGGCCGAAGAAGGTAAGACACCCTTACCGAATCGGTGCGACCTTCTTTACGCGCGGTCCAACACCCGACGGCCACAGACAATCGCGACACCACGATCGGTGGTGAGAGAGGTCTCGGTTTAAAGTCTTGAACAGTGACGCACAACGAACTAAGAAAGAAGAGGGTTGGGGTCGGACGTTCAACGGTGACTCACCTTTGCACGGAATCGACGAGAATGACGACAAAAAATGGATGGTCGGCGGCGGGGATATAGTGAGTTGGGAGTAGCGGCTCAGTGGGGAAATTCTACCGTGCGATAGCCTTAATACGGCTAAGGAAAGGTGCTATCGATTCCTCTATTCTCTTCAATGGCAAGCACGCACGGCCTTGATCAAGCGATGGTTTTTCACTTCTCCTTCCCCCTTTAATGAATTCCCTTTTTCTTTTTCATTCGAAGTTTCAGTATTTTGAGCGTTGAAGTTCAAAATTTGCTTCTTGTTGGCTCCCTGAAGATATTTTCTATGCTCTTTCCCCTTTTTGCTTTAATTTTTTCTATTCATCTGGGAAATTAAGCTTTGCTGGATTTTTATGTTAGTTAATTAGATAGAAAAATGTTGGTTCGATTCAAGCTTAAAGGTTTGACCTTTGGATGACTAATGTGTAATTTCTTAAAGTAATAATCCGGGTTCTCTTTGTTTTCTTCTTCTTTTGCAAACAACTATAAGTTAATTTAATTTCTATCTACTCCTGTTTGTTTCTCTGGGATTTGTCTCCAGGATTTCCGGGGCTTTTTAAATGACTTGCAGGACTGGGAACTTTCACTTAAGGACAAAGACAAGAAAAAACCATCTCAGGCTTCTGCTAAAGAACAATTGGTAACTTTTCAACGCTCAGATTTTGTTCAAGTATGGAACTAAAGTGAGGACATAGAGAGTAGTGATAATTCATTTCATTTCATATGGTGCCAATGAGAAAGGAAGGCCTACAGGAAAAAGGTCCCTAAATGATTCTTCGTCGACTACCAGTTCGGGCCAATATGATTATTTGCAGAATGATGATAAATGGAGCAGTTTTCAGCTACTTTTGGCACTGAAGAGAATATGCCCGATGCAAATTCTGAAAAGGAACTGGTGAGAAGTTTGGTTTCCGCAGGTTTTCTTTTTGATCATGTGTGAGCTTTATTTGGTGTTGATTAGAGTGAAAATATTTTGAATTTGCAGGGAAATGAGTATTTTAAGCAAAAGAAATTTAAAGAAGCTATCGATTGCTACTCGAGAAGCATTGCCCTTTCTCCAACAGCTGTGGCTTATGCGAATAGGGCTATGGCCTATCTTAAGATCAGAAAGTGTTTGACACTGTTTATGTTATATTGACTTATAGATAGCCTTCCCTAGGTTCAGAGCTGTCAATGTGATTTCTGTTTTCTCTTTAGATTTCAAGAGGCTGAGGATGACTGTACGGAGGCCTTAAATCTCGATGATCGCTACATAAAAGCATACTCACGTCGAGCAATGGCCAGAAAAGAACTTGGTAAACTTAAAGAATCTGTCGAAGGTATGTTGAGTGCAAGTTCTCTCTTGTTTTAAATCCTAAGTGGATCTCTATTTAAATTGATGGATCTTTATATGGTGGACGTAGTTGTTTGCAGATGCTGAGTTTGGCCTGAGGTTAGAGCCTAAGAATCAAGAAATGAAGAAACAGCATGCCGAGTTTAAAACATTATATGAAAAAGTAAGCATTTTTTGTTGCTTAATTTTCTTCCATACCTTCTGAATTATAACTTCCTAAAAGTTCAGTGAACTAAAATTATCTTGAAATATTGTGGCTGATCAAGCTGGTTTAGAATCTTGGATGTTAACCAGGCTATGGTATTCTTTAGGATTATTAGAAGATCTTCTGTTTTGTTAATCTAAGCATTCAATTGATTTTTCTCGTTGTAATTTCATCTATCCCAGGAGGTTCTGCAGAAGGCATCAGGGTTATAAGAAGGTCTATGCAAGGGGGTCAGGATGTAGGCAAGTTAGATACAAAAGAAAATGGGCTTCGGGTGCAACCCGTCTCGGATAGTACTCAAAGGACGGGAGTTGCCGCAGTTCAAGGACATCAAACTAAGGTACTGGATGTTAGAACTTCTCTTTTCCAGTTGTTTTCTTTTTCATTCTTTTCAATCAAAGATGTTTATTTATTTTCAAATCAATACATGAATTTATGTTGAGTTTATTTAGTCTCGACTCTTGACGCCTAAAGTTTTTTGAATGTACTTTTATGTTTTTTCATTTAGCATGGTCTCTTTTGGTAGGTTTCCGAATATGACAGGCAAAGAAACCCAAGAAGACATCTGTAACTTTGGAGGAAATAGGGAAAAGAAATATCAGGGCCGGAAGCAGAACCGATCATACTCAACTAGATACTGTTATTGCTGGTCCATATCATTAAGGTAACACTATATATATTTCTCTTGAGACTTCTATCGGTCACACTTTTCTTTGCTTCTAAGAAGGTTTGGGTTTTCTTAAGTCGTTACAATTTAACAATTCCGTGAAGCTACATGCATGTTCCTCTTCTCCCGTTTCTAACTTTGGCTGCCAAGCCTAGGCGACTCTAGTGCACATCCTTATAGACTTCCTCCCTCTGAAGTGGCTCCTATAAAATTTCGATTCATATTTTCTAAGGAACTCCTTGGATTACTTTTACGAGTTACAAATAGGATTTGAATTTTAAAGCAGGAAATATTATTGTAAACAGCTACATTATCCTCACTTTAATATCTCACTACTGATATAGTTTAGAATTGGTTTAGGTTTTTTATTGGCTTAGATAGGGAGTCGGTAGTGTACTGTCATGAGCAATTATTTGAGATCAATCTATAAGGTCTGTCTTTAAGCGCCTTGGGTTCAGTGTACTGTTCTTTTCATTTTAAGATGAATTTGTTGCACTGAATCTATCCATTGCTACTTTTATAACTAAAAGATTGTCATGTTATCGGTTTTCCTCCTAATTAAAATTGGGTTAACCGTGCCGCATTCAGTCTTTCACAGAGAAATACCAAACTAGAAAGCAAGAGCTGAAGCCTTCAGTGCAAAAGCTTGCTTCTTGAGCGCTAGTCGAGCCATGACCGATGCTGCGAAAAACATCAGTCCCCCAAGTACAGCATACCAATTCGAGGTTTCCTGGAAAGCCCTATCTGACTGTTCCCTACAGGCTCATTTTCTGAAGGTCCTGTTTGTTGGTATTTTATCGTTCTGTTTTACATTATGAGCCATCTTATGTGAATGCTATTATTTTTTTCAAGTCTCCTCATTCCCGCTACAACTGTTTTTTTTTTACTATTGTAGGTTACATCCAACTGCATTACCACACATCTTTAAAAACGCGATGCTTCCATGTTAGTCGATATTGTAATGTGTTGCCATTTTTTCAGGTAAATAGAGTCTTTTATGGTGCCTACTGCCTGGGACTTGCATATCGATTTATCGTTGTATTTTTTCCAGATTATTGATTGCCTACTGGTTTATTTATTCTATTGGCAGGGAAGAAATGGATTTGGCTATTAAGTATCTAGAAAATTTAACCAATGTTCCAAGATTTGACATGCTTGTATTGTTTCTTTCGCCTACCGACAAGCTGTTTATTTGAATGTTTTACCATATAGATCTATTACCTATTAATATGAAGTTTAAAGAAAAGGGTTAATTGAACCGGATGTTCCCGAACTATATAGGCCAAATTGTTGGCTAAACTGTTGAAAGGACTTGATTAGAATTATAGTTTGAGGGTTCCATCGGGAAAACCGGTTTTGAATTTAGCTCTTAGTTTCTGGCGCAAGTAAGCCTAGAAAAAATGTCTTTATTCGAACGAGGTTGAGGATGTAAATCAGGATGCTGACTTGAGTTCGCCACTGAACAGATCTTCTCAAGGTATGGGATGAAGTATTTTGTATGAGGCAACTCCCATAGAGTGTGCAGAGATCCTCGATAACTTGCGGTCCGTGTAGACCTCAAGAAATGAAGGATAACGATACGCATTCGGAGAGATTCTCATAGCAGTGATGTTGGATCCTTTTTGTAAATGATTCTTTTGAAATGTTGAAAATCTGTCGCTGCAATTTTCTTTGTAATGGCTGGCTGTGGTGATCTGCAGATTTCATAATCTTTCATCTTTCAGTGTTTGCATTTACCTGTTTATGGTTATCGTGTTTGCATGTCCACCAAATCAATGTTCTTTCTACATTCTCCTTTACATGCCTTTTTCATTCACGATATCAAAATTCGAGTTTCTGATTTTATGTTAAGAAAAACATATATATCTGATTAGACAGAGCCCAAAACTGGAAATGATACCATTTTGCTCAAATTGGGATACTTTATATATATACCCAAGACAAGATAAGATATTTTGAGAAAGTGAGGATTTGTTGAAAAGGATCAAATAATTATAATCCCCATAGGTGGGGACTGGGGAGCAATATGTACACCCTTGATTACTTGGAGAGGTAATGATGATAGATGTCTAGCCATGGTCACAATGTTTAGAGACGGATATAAAATTTTAGATTAGAAAAATAAATTTTAAAAATTTCAAAAGAATAATATACGTATAAAATTTTTAGAAAAAACGAAAATAAATTATTAATAAAAAATTAAATAAAATATCTAAAATTAAATTTTTTAGAGGTAAGATTAACCTACACGTACATTCCTATAATTCTTTGAATTATGTAATCAAATTGGCACATATTTTGTTTGGTAAAGTGTCTCTTTCCTCCGTTAATTTAGGTTTTACAAAGATAATGCCTTAAAGTTGGACAAAACACAAGCTCACCACTGTGCACAAAAAACTGTTCATGTCACAATAATTCGTCCATAAAAAATGTGGGAAAAATATGAGCCAAAAACTCGATACCAGACAACTGCATCTACAGCTCCAGATGTGCCGAGGTGCCAGAAAGGAAAACATCATTGTTTTATGCCATTTTCGAAAATTATCACTTCTTCACTCATTGAGATTTTTGGGTAAATCCCTTCACTGACCGTGAACCCAAGCATCCAAGAAATTCATATTCTTAAAGCTGAGATGTATCACAACCTTCTAATCAACTATAATACATAAGATTCCTTTTAACCAAAACGAAATTCGATATCCAACGATTAAATCTATTTGTCCTGTTAACCTAAAATAGTTATAATAACTGTATGTCTTTCCCCAACCCTTTCACCTGCTAAAGTCTCCTCTTCTCTTTTACAAAGAGCATTATCGATTAACAACTATCTTATATAGAGTACGACTCTATATACAAATCAAAAGAAGTGAATTAGGAAAAAAATTACGTAACTTATTTATTCTCATCAACAAGTACCTATTAAATGTAAAGACACTACCCCCAACAGCTAAACACACATCCCTTGGCACTAACTTCATTTTTTTACTTCAAAAACTTAGTAGTATTTGTTATAAGAAAATCAAATGTAAATTGCACGTTTAATATTTAAATTATCAGTTTTGGTCTGTTTTAGTCTTATTTTTTAATTTTGTAAAATCATACCTAAAGTTTAGTTTTTGTTTTATTTTAGTACACCGTTAAAATTTTAGTTTTTTTTCATTTTAGTACCCCGTTCAAAATTTAACGTTAATTCTTGGAAAAAAAAAATGAAAGCTTAGGTAATAAAGCGGACAAAAACTAATAGTTTAAGTACTAAACGTATTAATTTTCATGACGGGATAGAAATGAAATGAAAACTAGACATAACATGTATAATTCTGAAAAAAAAATTGAAAGTTTAAAACGGATCAAAACTGATCATTAGGTATTAAATACGTAATTTACCCAAAATCAAAATGTGCAATAAAATTAACAAGCAAGGCTTACGCTGCTTTCTCTGATTGTCTGGGTATTATTATCATTCATAATTTCTAACTGGATTGGTGGCAAAATTGTCTCTTCCAATCAAATGTAGAATAAGTGTATGACAACAAACAGTTCAAGTCAACAGAAGAGACAGTATCCAGTATAGCTCCCTTATTTACCGGTCCCATAATTATATAATGGTATAATACTAAAATAAGCCATCAGAGTTTATTAAATGATCATTTGGTCTTTATTTGTTAGGAATATTTTGATCAGAACGTTTATTTTATGGTTAAAGTACTTTTAACGTTTATTTTATGTAAAAAGATTTTTACGTTTAACTGAATAATCAATTTGACTCGTACTTTTTTTAAAATATTTGGCCCCAACATTTAGTTTTAGATAAAAAATGCCTATGTTTTGGAAACTTGCATAATATACTCAGTAAGACAACGATGAACCTTGCTAATGTCATCAACTGTGTCTCTATCTCTTCTCTTTGCACATTAAAATACAATAATACTTCAGACTTTAAAAATAAAAATATCAGATCATATCCTTACATATGGCTTCAAATTGGCCGAGAAAACCAGACTATAAACAGATGCAGTGAGATAGGAGCTGATCCAGAGCTTGATGAGTTCATGGTACAGTAATAAACTGTCAAAGATTCTTGGTTTTGTTTGTTTCTCGAGAAAATATTGTATGAATCTCAGATATCTTTATATTTGCTCCAAGGAATCATATTGTGAGGTTCTTCATAGATGCAAAGAGGAACTCTCAAAGCCGTTGGATGAAGCTACAATGTTCTTGACCAACATCAAATCAAGGCTAATTGATCTCTGCAAAGGAACATTGGTGAAATCCTTGGATTATTTATCTGGTAAAGTTTTTTTTGACTGTGCATTTACCTGGAAAGCAAGTTAACTACACTGACACTACTGGTACTATCTATAGTTGTTTTGCTGTTCCTTTTTGTCCACTTTCCTATTTTTAACCATGCTTGAGCTCTTGATTCTTGAATCATTTGTTTACACTTTTAACAGTAAGAACAGTTGCATGATCTATAATTTCCAGTACGGTCAGGTTTAAATCCTATAGAAAACAGATAACAATACATAAAATGTTATATTGTACTTAAATTTTTTTAATGATAATTTTGCACTTTTATTAATCAAATTTGATCCAAGGTTAAACATTACAAATTCTATAATTATTTAGTTGGAAAAGGATCCATTCATTATTTCGAACTCTTAATACGTTAGCATTTAATGTTAAATGATTAATATTTATAGACAAATACTGTCTTATACTTACCCGAGATTTAAAAAAAATCTGAACATATAATAGTGCAATATATTTGAAATTTACATGTAGGACTGGTTTAACATTATTTTCAAAAAAATGTGAAGTACTTAAGACTTGTAATAGTATAATATATTTGGGATTTACTATCTTATATCTCTTGCATTTGTGTTGAATTATATATATCTTGGCAGATGTACTAGTTGAATGCTTACTATACATGTACATGTATGTATGTATATAAATGTACATCATTGTTTTTCTCTTCAGATGAAGCTGGTGGGTCTTCGGAGGAAGAATTAAGCGGCAGCGAATCACCGGGCCGGCAGCGTCCGAGCCACGAGATCAAAGGAATGCTGATGCGTAAATACAGTGGGTATCTAAGCAGTTTAAAGGAAGAATTCTTGAAGAAAAGAAAGAAGGGTAAGCTGCCAAAAGATGCTAGGCTCACACTGCTAGACTGGTGGAACAACCATTATAAATGGCCTTATCCCACGGTAATTGCACTGCTACTTATTACTCACAAGTGTTATCTATATATATATATATATATCATGCAAATTTTATGCCTATGGTGTGGTGTTTTTTACGGATATTCGATTTACTTTAAGGATGTGATGTTACAGGAGGATGAGAAGTTGAAATTATCAGAGATAACAGGACTAGACCAGAAGCAAATCAACAACTGGTTCATCAACCAGCGGAAGCGGCACTGGAAACCGTCCGAGGATATGAAATTCTCTCTTCCGGACGGTGTTTCCGGACGCATCGGTGGTGGTCCGACGTACTTAAATGCCGGAGAGGGAACCGAAATTGACGATATTTGATCGGAACAACGGCCTTCATTGAAGGCATCTCTTCCCTCATGTAAAGTTATTCTCACAAATATATTGAAGTATGCAAACCATTAAATATGTAAATGCCTTTCCCCCTTTTTGAAATTATTAAACCAATTTCTATTTAATAAGGTGTTATTAGGGGAAGTTCATATTTGTATTTATATTTGTATTTAAAAGTCCGAGATTTTTTTAACTAATTGAAGTTGTAGCTATTCGAACTCGAGTTAGTTTTTGAAAAAATAATATTATATTTTATTACCGAGGTCATTCAATAAGTTTGAATTAATTCGATTTAGATATATTTAAATAAGTATAATTATATTAATATAATAATTGAATTACTAAAACTTATTTAAATTCTCTTTTATAATATATGAATAATGAAAATATGCTTCAAACCAAATTGGACTCACACCTGAGTATGATATATTTTTTTTTCCTGAAAGCAACCCATTAACAGTAATGGCTTTCGGGATAATTAGGCCCAGTTGGAGTTATGCGGACTTCAAATACATATTAAGGCAAAAGAAAATTTTGGATATACTGCGGGATAAAACAATTTATTTTATTTTTTTTATAATCATCGATATTCGATCCATTCGTTAATTTGAATTCATATTTATAAACTATTTTAGGTGTAATGTAACATCCTCATATCAATACGGGTGACTCAATCCGATTCGAGATATCACATTAGGATCACATGAGCGACCCACAATAAAAATTTGGAATTTTTTTTTATTAAACCACTTAAAAACCGTGAAACAATTTCAGTACAATAGAGGGACTAAAACCATGACCTATTAGTACCACTATAGAAGTTGAGGATCAAATATGCCAAATTAAAATAGGACCATATCATAAATTTCAGTACAATAGAGGGACTAAAACCATGCTTTCACGAGATTTGCTCCTCGATATCAAGTTCCTCCATCAGGTTCACATGTTTGAGCAGGGGATTAAACATTTCAATGTCGAAAAACTTGTTGGGCAACTTCATTGGCCCTAGAGGCTGCTGACCGGTACTTTGTTTATCTGATGGCGATTTACGTACAATCACCACCGAGTTGATAACTTCATCAGTAGATGGAATATTGAGAGGACGTTGAATCCCCGCAGGTCACAAGGATCGACGACAGGATAAAGGAAAGCCCGAGCACCGTGTGCACTTCTCAGCATCAAAATCGCCCCGGGGCTCATATACTTCGCCAAATGATCAATGACTCTCACTTTCTCATCTTTGTCCATCCCGACGAGAGCCGCCAAGAAGACGACATCGTACTCTTTCAAAGCATGCGTGACATCGATTATGTCCGTGTGTGAAACGACATCCGTCGAGATAAATCAGGGTCGGAAGAGACCAATTGGATGGCCTTGGAATTGGCCAAAGGGTTGATGTCGTAGTTGTCGAAAGTGGTACTTTTGAGGTGAAAGAGGCCAATACGATCGAGGACAAGGGAAGAGGACCGGAACCAACAAATGCGACTTTATTGGGCGCACTCGGGCAGTGTTTGGTGAGGATGTCAAATTCGAGTTGGCTGAGTTTAAGGTAATTCGTGTAGTAAGGAAAACGTCGAGATTGCAAAGAGGGTTCTCGTAGGACGCTAAGATTGTCGAGAAATGATTCTCCAAATGTCCCTCGGCTTCGCCGCATAGTCGAATCAACTTAGACCTCATGTCTTGAACATCTTTGCAAGCTTGGTGGCATCAATCCGGCTCGGCGGGATACATGTGACGACGAGTTGTGTGAAGAGTGTGTTGACATCTTTGGAGGGTTCGAGACTCGAGAGGCTCGCGATTTGTTCATACAACTCTTGGATTTTTCGGACCAACGGATTTTTCTTGCAGACCATGTCGTTAGTTAGTATGCGATTATGGAAGATGAGAATTCTTGTGTGGCAAAAAAAACATTCGGTAGAGAGGAAGAGACGATCTCAAAAGCTCCAATGGAGCCATTATTTATGGACAATTTTGGGGACCACACCATGCGGAGGGTTGGCCTTGTAATTCTCCTGTATTATTATAAAGTTAGAGAGGTATAGTATTGATGTCTTCTATGTTTTTAGCATATTAGGCATATATATCAATTGAATTTAATCATTAATTTTTAACGGATCTTACTAATATTTCTTTCGTATCAAAATCGAGATCAAGATCAAGTTCATAGACGATATCGTTTGGCATCAGGTCCTCTTACCGTAGAACAGCACGTAATGTACATGGACCCCCTCTATCTTGTGATATTTCAAATATCTAAAAGACAATATGGCCTTACATATATTGGATGGCCAGTTTCGACTCTCATTATGTATAGACGTTGACATTGAGATAATAACAATAATACTATACACTAAGTTATATAATTTAGGGGAAATTACATATTTAGTCATTCAATTATTTTTGTCGTTATATTTTAGTTATTTAACTATTTTTTTTCTCTCAAAATCATATATAAACTTACGTTTTTTTTCCATTTTGGTCATCATAAAATAATATCACGCCATCACTGAAAATAATTTTTTTTTATCACACTAATAGTTATATTTATTTTTTAACAACGGACGACTAAAATGGAATGAAAAACGTAAATCTAGTGATGATTTTGAACAATATAATTAGATAACCCTAACAATATTATAGAATAATTAAATGATTAAATACGGGACTTATTGTTCTATGAACCTTGTACGCATGACTCACCATGTGACACATGTAAGTTTTTTATGGTAGAGAAACCAATTAAACAAATTATTACGCAAACAATTATGTCCACATACATTCCTACTTCCCTTCAAACTCTTTCTCGGTATCGAAATACACTGTAATCAAACAAATTTTAAACGAACCATTATTTTAATTATTTTTTTATTTAAAAATTCACGATAAAATAAACTTTTAAAGTCAAGAAGGCATCTTAATTAAATCGTTTGGAAATTCTATAACTGAGTTTCAAGAACTTATTTGATCGTGAATTTTTAAATGAAGATATGTCGGAAATAACATTTTATTAAAATATTTATTTGATTATTATTTAATTTGATAATGACTAATTTATTATATAAACTTAAATATTATTTTAGGTTTTTGTAGCTTATGTGATGATATGACGTGAATAGTGTATACGCCTCGGACTCTACTTCACGCTAAAATGATAATAATTAGGGTTGTACTGATGGTTCTTGAATTAGTAGGTTATGGTGGTTAACACCGTTTGATAGAAAGTTGAAGTAAGTTATAACAATAGGTTATTGATTATTAATTTTGGTTAAAGTACATAAATAGTCCTCTGACTATATGATATTACTTTATTATTAAAAGTTATAAAATGATCTTCTGATTATAAGGAGTTGCTTTATTGAATCCCTTAACTATTAAAAGTTATAAAATGACCACTTGACTATTCATTATGTTCCAAACTTGTCATTTTCCGTTAAAAATTTGACGACAGTTTGAACTGTACGTTAGCCCTCCTGATTGAGATATGATAAAATCTTATCTTCATAATCTCAAATGACTATCATATCTCAGTTAGCATGTTAACGTCTAACTCAGATTATCGTTAATTTTTTTTAACATAAAAGGACGAATTTGGAACATAATTAATAATCAAGTGACCATTTTGTAACTTTTAATAGTAGAGGGAATCAACAAAGCAACCCCTATAGTCGAGGGACCATTTTTATAATTTTTAATAGTCAATGAACTAGATAAAACAATATCCTATAGTCAGGAGACCGTTTGTGTACTTTACCCTTGAATTTTTAATTAGACAACTGAATCTTTTTTCTATTTGATTATCAATATCTGATTTATTGACCGATCATAAGTTCAAAATCAATTGCGGTTACTGGACTTCGAATTTTCCATTTAAATTTTGTTTATCATGGGCCATGGAGACGCCTAGCTTTTGAAAAGGCAGGCTGCTTGCCATTGCTTGATTAACATTCCGATTTCTGCAAATATATATCTTTTGCATATACCAACCAAAGATCTTGTAGTTGAAGGTGAACAAAAGATATAAGTGGTGGAGCCAATTCAATCCATGACTTGTTCGTTTGAAGCCTGTTGCTCTACTAGGACCATCAAACAAGTCAAAACACATTCTGGCTCATGGGGTAAGTGATGTCACGGCTCGATTCGACTCGAATAAATTTCGAATGGGCATTTTTCTTTTTTCTTGACTAGACCTTCTCTCCACTCTACAAAAGATCAGATCAATAACTTTTCTTTAGATTTTGTTTTCTTTTTCCACCACTTTTTTCCTCTCTGTTTTAAACCATATTAGGTGGAGTTAATTGCATCACAAGTCCCCAAATTATAACCTTTAGTTTAAATTGACCCTTAAACTTTTGATCATTTTAATTTTATCCCTAAACTATGACCTTATCTCTAAATTAGTCCCCAAACTTTTGAATATTCCAATCTCATCCATAAATTCATCCAGATATATAATTAGTTTCGACCATAATTTAACTTAAATTTTGTTTTTTAAACATATAATAATATAATTTGTCCCAATGACTTTATTAGAAAGGGATGTGATAAGCGTGTGTGTATATATATAGTTTGGGATGAAATTGGAAAGTTCAAAAAGTTTGGGGTCTAATTTAGAATGAAGGCAATAGTTTGAGGATGAAATTGAACTGTTCAAAAGTTTGAGGATTAATTTAGAATGATAATCATAGTTTAGGGACATAGGACACAATTAACACTTCTAGGTGGTATACTAAGAGAAACTTTTGATCCTCCCAAGGCCCAAAATTTCCTCATTCCAATCCAATGAATCATAGGCATTACTATATGCTGCTAAGTGGTTTCTTTTATCATGTCCATGTCCATGTCCATGTCCATGTCCATGATTGATGGACCAAAACCGAGGTCGAACTCGAACCGAGGCCATTGTGCCTTGCCCCACGTTCTTGTGATGAAAAGCAGATGTTAGTGTTACAATAGAAATGCAAAAGGATTTAGCTCAAATTTTACAATAAAAAACATTTAGAGGTATCACCAAGGTGTAACCCAATCTAACTTGAATTCGATCGAAACTTAAAATATAAATTTAAACTCGACTCCATCTATATCTCATATTAGTATTAACATCGAAATCATCATGACCCTTGCCATTGTATGTATGTATGTATGTATGTATGTATGTATGTATGTATGTATGTATGTAT